ATTATTATTATTAATAAAGCCACTTTTAACCATTAATCATTCTTTTCAGTTTTCTCAGTAAATAGGGATCCCATGATTATGTGCTTGACAGCAGAAAAAAAAGAGACTTTCTTTAATGGTGCCATCACCAAACTAGGCACTCATTTATGCGGCGTACAATGGCTTAATTCATTCACTGTGCAGTTCATTCCCAATCCAACCCTTTATGAGAGTGGCAATCTACAAAGTAAAACTCTTCTGCACAAGTCACTGTGGGAAAAGCATGTTAGTGTTTAACATGTGACTATTTTTAACCTTTTTTAACATCTTCTCAGACTATGCGGGATCGCTGGACTGACAGGAAAAAAAAGATGCTTTTTAAGAGCTTTATCTCATCATCTCTACAAATGACCTAAATTAAAGTGACACAGTCTCCTCGTAGTAAGAGCAATGTAAAAAAAACTCCCATTTGCCATTAATGCCATAAGATGAAACCTTCAGCTTTTCTCCAAGGAATCGTTTTCCCCCCACAGCGTCCTCAGGGTTCACAGACAATATGAAAATGTGTATCTCTCTCTGATTTTGAGGAGAGTCTTTAGATGTCCTAAAGGCATATACATTCCTCGGTCTTACCCCAGTATCACTCGCTTTGTCTTCTTCTTCTTCTGTTATTTCTAGAATTACAAAATCATTCCACACAGAGTGGCGTTTGCTGACTGTTATGTCAGCCGAAAGCGCATTAAGCCAACAAAACTGCTGTTAGCAGGTAAAGGCTTTATTTCACAGCCCGGGGGTCTGAAGCAGCAGACAGCTGGTCTAATGTAAAGACACAGTTTCCATTCTGCTCTTTCACAGTTTTATGTCTCATCTTCCCTTTGATATAGTGCAAATCCTCAACCTGAGGGCAGCTCAGTGTGTGTGTGTATGTGAGAACACACTGTGTTGTCTCTCAGCCATGTGGACCTCTTCGTACTCTTAGGTTCACATGGGAGGGGCCTAGAGCTGCATGCAGGAAAGCCAGCTCCTCTTATTTCCCTGGCAAATGTCACCACAACCAGTCACATTTCTCTCCTCCTCCACCACCACCTCTTCTCTTCCACACCTCTCCTCTTCCTCCATCCCTCAGTCCTTGCACTGCCTGTCAGAATTCCCACATATCCCCAGAGGATAAGATGCCATGGAGGCCACAGGAAGAACTGTGCTGTGTGCCTGCTCTGCCTTCTGCCTTCTGTTCATCCTAACAGGTGAGTGCAGATTTGTGTTGAGTTGTCACGACAGGACGTTGTGCTCGAGCTGTCAGTGTTGTGTTGGTGTAGTGCTGGCTGCTGCTGTGGTTACTGTGTTTGCTTGGTTGGTATGGTAGAAACTGAAGGGCGAGCTGAGGAAGTTTTCATGGTGTACAGTAACAAAAATGTTCACTCACATCGTTGATGTAGTTTGTTTGAGAAACACATTTTCAACATATGTAAACCTTAAAATATGGATCTTTATAGGCACAAGAACTCCATTTAACAACACCCAGAGTGGGGTTTGTGTTTTTCTTTTTTTTTAAAAAAGCAAAACTTGGCATTAATATCTTGTAATAATTTGGGAAACTGGTTGACAAGCTTTTTAAACTGAACAAAATTGAGCTCCCGACGGTGTGTTTAAAATCTCAGAGCTGTAAAGTTTTCCACGTAGTCCGTCCTGGTTCCTTTTGCATGTCCTTTCCATACTCGTTGCTGCATGACTCTACAGAATTAGGTTTTCTGTTCTGTTGTTGGCCGTGAGTAGACATAAAAACAGGGTCATTTGGAAAGAAGAAATGACCTAGGCCACAGCAGTGTGACTATGAGATAACAAACGTGTAATAGTGCGTGTCGTGTGACCTGATAAAGCCAACAGCAAAATCCCCCAAGTTTGGCTTCCCGTCTACTTTGATGTTTGTATCAACAGCCATCCTTGAGAAGCCCCGTTTGTCTTATCTGAAAAAGGACAGAAGATGGTGGCGTTTGGATACGTGCGGTGAGGTGACTCTATTTAGTATCCAAACAACTTGGATGTGTGTGAGGGTGATAAGAGGCAGGTGCTTTTGGGTCTCCACACGAAAGCGTATGTGTGTACGTGGGGGGTAAGGCCACCAAACGAAGCTTCCCTCTCACCTCAGAGTGTTTGTAATCATTGTGTCTGTAATCACCACCACAATATCCATGTTGTTTGGGGACAACAGTGAGGGAGCGGGCTCGGCACACTCCTCCTCGTTCTGCCTTTTCACCGGATCTCGGCTGGTGTAAACACAGACACACTCACACACACACACACCGAAACTGGCCTGCGGTCTTATAAGAATGGGACGTGTCACCGTGGTGTTTGTGCTGCATGTATTATTTAGGACATAACAGCAGACAGTAGATCTATTGTGATGTTCAACATGAGCAAAACATGACAGCTCAGAGGAACAGCAAGGGACATGAGGGAAAATATGGTTTTACAGGAAAAACAAAAGTTTCTCGAGTTTTCGCCCCATTTTTCCTATCGTGATTGCACAGTATGATGTGTAACACAAACATAATTAAGTCTTGATGAATTCAAAGTTTACATTTTTTGATCTACAGCCTATAAAAACTGTTATTCACGACCGATCTTCAAGACATTTCTTCTGTGCCGAAAAAAGAGAAGATGCACAAACAGAAGCGAGACAAAGACACTCGAGCACAGAAAGAGGAAGTTGAAAGAGATAACTATGAACAAAAACTGTGAAGTTTTAGTGAGTTCGTTTCACAGCAGCACTGCCTACTCACATGCTGCTGCTTAACTCAGCCTGGCATCCAAATGGACTCAATCATTTCACCTCATGTAAAATGTCAAGTGAACACAGGTCGCAGCACAGATGTAATTCAGTGCATTTTGGAAAGATGTGGTCATTTAAAAATGTAAATTAATGACATCATTCATTCATCAGGCTGAGTAAAACCACTCGACCTTCCGGCTGAAGTGGCAGCATGCGCTGGAAAACACTGATAGCTCTATCGGCTGTTTGTGTTTTTCAAGGTTGTCTGTAACTAGTGAACAAACTGCCCCGGCAACCTGCCGCAGCTTTAACAGACCACAAGATGCAATAGATCAGCAGTTGTAGTTACTTCACACAGCTCAAGTGTTTGTTTCGCAACGAGTTGCTATAAAAGAGACAGAGCCTGATCCTCGTCTGGCAACAATGTCACTCCGTAGGGAGTTAGGTCAATATTAACACACAGCAGTTTCAGGACCTGGACACTTTGAAGACTAGGATGCAGATCATTGCAGATTACACAGACAAAACAGGACTGACTTTATCTTTAAAGTGAAATCTCCTCGATATATTGCATCTATAGCATTACATAATTACAAAAAACAACTTTTTCTTTCAATTTTCTCCAGTTTTTACATTTGAATCCTCCAACAACCCACAAAATGACAATTCTGAAATAAAGCAATGTCAAATAATAATATCAGATTGTTACCAAGTGCCAGTAATCACTAATGCATGTCATATTTTTCAATTTTGAATGAAAGTATTTTTATCAATGTTAGTGCTCTATCACATGACATGCACAACAGGGTGATAGTGTCAACTTTAAAGTGGGGTACACAGAAAAGCCTATTGTATCATCAGACAGTGCATCTTTTGTAGCATCTCATATATCAGTGTCATATATTGATAACCACAGGCAAAAATATGATTTCTTGTCAAACAAAACAGACGATTGTTGCCCGATTTTGCGGTCTCTCTGAGCTCAGTTTGGTTCAGTTTGATCTTTGTCAGTTCCTAATTCAGCTGACATGTTTCCATGGAAAAAGAAAACCTTTATCAATCCCATCTCCAATTCTTTGACTCCACTACTGTAGCTTTTATTTATTCACAGTTTAAAAACATTTGTTTATTCCATATTTTCCATTTTTTTCTGACTCCTCATGAAGAGAAAGTTTAAACAGGGGGTAGGTGTTGCTGGTTTGCTCACAGCCAGAGATACGTGCCTGATATGTCCATATTAAGGTTATCTACTCTGAGGGACATCATACAGACCAAGAAGGGGGAAAAAATGTCAGAAGCTGATTGTTTCAAGCGGTCTAAGTCCTGAAGTTGTGGCTTCAAAGGGTTTACTCTGCACATGGGTTGACTTCATTATTGGAAACTTTGGCCATGCACCAATGTAAGAGTTTAGTACAGAAAACAAGGAAAAATAAAATCAGTCCAGTTTACAGTGTGAGTGTAGGAAACGCATGGGAAGTCTAAATAAGTTAGCAACTAGCTAGCTATCATAGTGAAGTGTGTAGCAACTAAAACTCCAGAAATAAGCTGTGGAAAAAGTACAAATCTTGCCTCTATAGATGGTGAAATTTATTACTTTGTGAACAGTTTGTTGCTCAACCTCCAAGTACCCCATAAGCCTCCATCCATCCATTCGCTTCCACTTATCCTTTTCAGGGTTGTGGGGGGCACTGGAGCCTATCCCAGCTGTCATAGGGCGAGAGGCGGGGTACACCGCAGGGCTAACCATTCGCACTCACTCCCGCATTCACACTTATGGGCAATTTGGATTAATCAATTAACCTATCCCCACAAACTGCATGTCTTTGGACGGTGGGAGGAAGCCGGAGTACCCGGAGGGAACCCATGCAAACACAGGGGGACATGCAAACTCCACACAGAAAGACCCCGGCCTGATGGTGGAATTGAACTCAGGACCTTCTTGCTGTGCGGCAACAGTGCTAAACACCGTGCCACCGTGCTGCCCACCCCATAAGCCTATTGTAGTTTTAATTGTAGACATTAGCTTGCTGGAGTCATTGTGTATACAAAGAGTTTCTCTGTATGAAACATGATGTGTCACATGGACAATCTAACATGTTACCTTTCACTGGTTGTGCAGTAATTGAGTTTTCCTTCATTCCTTCTCCCACCACCTGCATCAACTCAGAGGTCAGCTCCGAACTGATTCACATTGATCCGTCGGTGAGGCATGTCACTGAAGGGGACTCTGTGTTCCTGTCTGTGAAAACCAACTTTTCACCGGACAAAGCAGAATTTCAGGGAACTTGGTGTCACACCGGGATGAGCAGCACCAAGCCCAGGATTTTGGTGACATTCACCAAAGAAAAAACAATCTTAAGCATGAAGCACCGTGACCACCTCGTCTTCAACAACTCCACCTTTTCTTTGGAAATCAAGAACTTAAACAGAAAAGATGAAGGAGATTATCACTTGAGCATCAACATAAAGCATGATAACAAACCAGAAGCCATTGAGGTGGAGAAAACCATTCGTGTAACCGTAGATGGTGAGTTGCATGTTTCTCAGACCTTATCTTTCCCATAATTTAATTTAATTAATTAGCCATTGCTCAGATATTAATTGTTTCTTGCCTTCCACCCCTGACTAGTTCCCGTGTCCAATCCAGCCATTGAGAAGAGCCCTTCCTATGCAGTCATTGAGGACAAAGCAAACGTCACCTTGACTTGTTCTGTTGAGAACGGAACAAGAGTTATGTTTAAGTGGTTCAGGGATAATGTTGCACTGGATCCCAGTGACAGATACCACTACTCCCAAGATAACTCCACACTGTTAATCAGCCCTGTGAGAAAAGAGGACAAGGGAAGTTATCACTGTGTGGCCAGCAACCCGGTCACCCGGGGCCAACACAGCAGGGCTGCGGAACTCAACGTCTACTGTGAGTAGCTGTAGCTTATTCTTCAGTTTCTGAACCCTGTAATGACTGTGTTCACGTCTGAGAGCTGCTTTATAAAGGTTTTTATTTTATAGAAACAATTAAAAATCTAAAATGTCACATATGTGTTCCTGTACTCATCCTAAACCTTGTTGTTTTCTCTTCTCCAGAATAGCTGGAAATGTTGGGTCATGTGTAAATTTTAGTGAGATCAGCCTACTATCAGCTTAAAAACAAACAAAAAAAAAAACATGCGCCTGTTATGGGATGGTATTTGCATGGGAGCAGACTTATCTTACAGAGCTCCTCTGTTCTAGTATAAACGGCGTAGATGCACTGATAGACTTTATTGGATGTGCCAGTATGAGGCTGAACTGAGAACGTACTGCATGCGTAATTTTTCCTGGGTATTCGTTTTAATGCATTTAAATATTTACAAAACAGACGACTTTGTATTGAAGCGTGACAAAAGAAAGGCGTCGTAGGTTTTCTCTACAGCTTCCTGCACTTTTTTACCTCCACCTCTTTAGTCTTGTGTGTTGTTCTCATCTTGGCGGTGACATCATTTTTGTTTGCATAGGCAGATCGTGTTTGTGTTTCAACCTGCAGGAAGCACTCTTGGTTTCTTTCAGTTTTACTGTATTGAGTTTCTAGTAAAGCCGGTCTCCTTCTAATGTTTGCTTTCACTGGAAAATGCAATAAAAAACCAGCTGATAGTGAACTGGGCTGTTTGCTACTAATAGCTAATTGCTACTACAGTAATTCTCGTTTAACAGATAATTTTCTTATTTAACAGTTAGGTTTTATCTAAAATGTATATTAATATGTTTGTGAATAATATGCTTGACTGTGTTGGAAAAAGACAATTCTTATTTTAAGTTAGAGTAGTGCGCTTTCTCGACAGCCCACGTTCGGTGCTGTGCTAGTCCACCCCCGCCTCACCTAGGTCTCAGTGTTCTCCACTGGCACTGTCAACACACCCACCCGTATTTATCCCACTACTCCGTGTACAGACCTGTGACCCTGTATTTAGAAACTCACTTTTCTTACCCTGCTTTCCTCTGCTACCCAATCATGCCTTAGAGCTGGATGGTTCATGAAAATTACCCACAAAGCAACATCTCACCAGCAAACTGTCATGTTTTTCTCACTCTCCACCGGCCCACACAGATGGCCCTTACAACCTTGAGGTGAACTCTGTCCAGGGCCTGCGCACAGGGGAGGTGTTCACCATCAACCCTGGGGAGCTGGTCTTCTTTGAATGCCAGGCTGACTCCAACCCACCTAACAGCTATGTGTGGATCTCCAAGACCCGCAATGCAACTCAGATTGTCACACAGGGCCCTCGGCTAGAGGTGCGCTCCTACAGACTGGCCCAGGCTGAAGAGTACCTTTGCCGTGCCTTCAACAACGTGACGCAGAAGCAGGACGAAGCCCAGTTTACTCTGGTGGTGGCCAGCTTGGGAACAGGTGGGTAGAGGGTGGAACATGGCAAAAGGGAGGAGAGCGTGGGTAGGTTTTGGGAATCCTCTAAGATAAACACTCTGCAAACAGTGTGTCACGCCAAACGCAGAAGAGCTGGGTGAGCGTTTCGAGATAATCCTTGCCAATGATAAGCACTGACCACCTTTTGGGAACAGTTAGGGAGAGAAAATACTATAACTGGAGCATTACACTGCGTAAAAGCTGACAAGTCAGACCAGGTTATGGCTATAATGAAATATACAGTACATTATTATAAAACTAAGGTTATATCTGTGTTGCTAGGCTCCAGTACCTGCAGCATGTATTTAAGTTCAGTGGCTGGGAAAGTAAACACTGGATAACAGCTGTTATGTTTGTTGACAAGGTTTTATAGCATATGGAGTTTCTGTGTGCTGAATGCAACATTAATATGTTGCCTGGGTGATACTGAGAAAGGCACATTTATGATTACTGCTGATACTGGCTGATTTAACACGTTGTTTAAGGAGACAACAGATGCCCTTTTTTTATTGACATCGAAATCTTTTAAATCTTTTCTGATGATTACAGTTTTAAATTCAAGCATTTTACAGACATGTTAGCCACTGTGGAAGGCTATACTATCGACTGTCTGTAAAAGAGGATGATTTATTTATGTATTTATTTTGGCACCTGACCTGATCATATTTAGATAAATTGTGGATAAGAGAGTGTAGTTCCATATTTTCAGCTAATGCTTGCTAGCTTGGTTAGTTAGCATTGTACCTTGGTTTGGTTAGATACCTGCTAATTAATGGTAACACATAAATAAAATTGGTTTCATTTCTCAAGAAAAATAAAAAACAAAACAGACCACAGCTTAAACACATTGCAACAAACAATAGTTTCCAGGAAACTGTTATAAATGTCAAGTTCAGTAACTTCATTTAGCTAAAGTGCTACCTAAAAGACAGCTAGCTAGATACTGTTAGCCTTTATCTTAACTCACTGGCTACTAAAAAACCATCATACATAAATTTAACACATTTTAAACTGAAAAGTAAATTTTCACTAAAGCCTTTGTTTGCTTGTTTTTGTAGCTGACTTCAATATCCCTGAGATATCTCACTGCAAGACACAAAAGCACGATTTCAATAACACATCTCAGATTTCTATGTGATAAACAGATGCTGCTTCAGTAAATGAAAGAAAATGTTACAAAAAAACTTTCTTTTAGCTCATTGGCCAGAATTTCCTGTATTCATAAAATATACATAGTAAATAGTGAAAAAAATAACATGAAAATTGCAATTTAATTGTTTATCTGTTAGTTAATTACTTTGTTGAAGTATAAAGGGCCACTGCACAGGAATCTTAAATTTGGGAAAACTATGAAAATAAAGTTTACGTTTTCCAAAGCTGTCCAGTGGGCCAGGTTAGGGGCCGTTTTTTGCCCCCCGGCACCAAGACCAACTTGTTAACTCTGTCATTCCTACAAAACTGAATTACTTTCAAATGTGTGTTCATGTATCATTCATGTGACTGTTGTTCATTAACAGGGAAAGAGAAGCACACCCAAGAGGGTAACTCTGTATCACCGCTGGCAGTCATTACTGTCTGCTCTTTTTTTGTCATTGGCCTTATGCTGCTGTTCTTCCTCAGGAGAACCTGTCATCCAAAGAGAGGTTAGATACTGTTTTCTTCTGTTGCTTTGGGAAGCACTTTTTTTACAGAACCATATTTGTTTTTAATCCCTGTGAGTTCAATTTTTCTTTCCCCCTGGTTTCCGAGCTCTTGAATGTGGAATTTAATAAACCTTTTCCACAGCAGTCATTTTGACTTGAAATGTAATTAGAAATGGTATTAATTAATGTCATTAGTAACACGTGTGTTTGCCTACTTTTTCATGTGGAAAAAACAAAAACAAACAAAAAAAAGAAAATGTTACTGGGAAAATGTAAATGACTTGCAAATGTTAGATTAAAGGAAACAAGGGCAAAGTAACTTCTTTATTTGAGGAAGTGAAGGTCACATTTGTTATGCTGTCGCTTGCATGCGTGACTTTATATTTTTCTCTCTTTCTCATTCCCGTTCTCTTCTCTTTTATCACCAGTGCTTATGAGCATTTACAACAAGTAAGAACCTTTATTATGAAATTATTTCAAAAATCTACCATTGTGTCTTTTCCCCACATAAGCTTCAATTAACATTTTTATTTTTTCTGAGCAGACCGTTTTCAGAGCAGAAACGACCACATCGTTCAGGTAAACGTCTTTTTTGTTCACAGATTATTCATTTTTCCCTCTTACTGTCAAAAACATGAATTATCAGTGATCCCCGCATAATCACTCTCATATTTATTTATACACATGCATTATATCATATTTAACAAGGAACTGGATTGGAAATAGTAGATGAACAAGGCATTTACTGGACAAATCAGCTTCAAAAAAGCAAGTTTGAAAGCTAAACAACTTAACTGACCTTAACTCAAACAAGATAAGGAGAATTTAACTCAGATTAGAGCAGTTTTATTTTTTTTAGATTTATGACATCATATAATTTACCATGCCATTATAAAGTCTGACAGGCTTTAGACATTAACAGCTGTACTGTAGCAAATGTTTTGCTCTGATTTATCAAAATGTGTATCAACAGGTCACGAGGATGCAACCGAGGACTTTGGCATCTACGAGTTCGTCTCCATACCTGGGAAGACGGAATCTACACAGGTATTTTCACAACAACAGAAACACTAATTTTGTCCAAAATCCTTTGTTTTTATAATGCTTTTAATTTGCACGTACGATTAATCCACCAGGCATCGTGCAGATCTTTGGCTCGTCTCGAATCGATTCAAGATATGCATACTACCATCTACGATGTGATCAGACACGTTCCTGAAACTCCGAGTCACAGTTTGCTGAAGTAAAGTCTGGCTGGAGAGCGGAGATGGAACTTTAAATGGTTTAACTTGAAGACTTCCTTGTAGCTTTATTCTCTTAAGTCTCTGTTATCAAAGCCTGAAGCACTGGTTTTGGTGGCCTGGTTTTTTGCACAAGGGATGAAGGAGACTTGTGGGATTACACAACCTGATAGTGCACTGCTGTTGACGAGAGTTTTGGACGGATGTTAAGTGTATTTTGCTGACATTGGTGTGAAATGAAAATGTATGTTCAGCTCATTTTTATTTTTTCTGTGAAAGCATAACTGAAGTTAAAAACCTTTTGTTTTCTGTTTTAAGGTGAAGATTATATAAAACTAAGCAAATTAGAAGTATTCAGTTTTACCTTATTTTGAAGATTTTCTGATGCATCCAAGGTGCCGAAATTGCCACATCCCTTGATTTATTATTTAAAATGTAGATGAAAAAAAAACCCATGAATATTATCATTTTAATTTAGCGTTCCCTGCTGACAGAGTATATTTTGTGAGAAGTGTTATAATTAATGCAGTACGAAATATATATTCAGGTTAACTGTAAATATTGTACATGGATTATCCAGCAGATTCTTTATACATATTATTCTATTCCTGTGTTTCACTCTAATCTATTTATTCCTATTAAAACTTTCAGCCCTGCTTCCCCAAATGTAGCATTTTCTCTCTTCTCATAATGGACACAATGAAATGCTCACTGAAAAGACAATGATAAGGAATTCGTAATTCATTATTGTACAGTTTGCATTCACATGTTTGTTTTGTACTTTATTAAAAATATAACTGTTTACTACTCTGGTCAATTGGAGTATGCGCTGTTTGCTGACATCAAACAAGGACAATGTACTCTAATCAGCGAATTCTGCAATTATGTCCGTATTTTTGCTTTAGTTTGCCTTTTTTTTGGTAAAAAGGCAAAAGCAGTAATGGCTTGAAATGAACATTTGTTCTTTCACACTTCCTGGAAAAAAAGAATAGCTGAAGCCAGCAAAGCTGTCAGTTGTTCTGTTGCTTCACAGTCCGTCTTTGTCTGATGTCTTGGCTGTAATCTCTCTCCTTGCAAGAGTTGTGCTTTCAGTCCCAACACTGCTGCAGAGCGCTAGCTTCTTTCAGCCTCGCTGTATTGGTATGCTGTGTACCTGATAGAGATAGGCAGCGACAGACGGATGGTTCAGCATGTGGCGTAGTGCCCTCCACCTGCTCCCGCTGACACCTTGTCACGAGTAGATAGAAACGGATGTGCGCTTGCTCCTGTTTGTGTGCGCGCGCATACATATATGTGTTGTGGACAGAAGAAGAAATACAGAAATACAAATAAAGGGGCAAGCGTGGAGAGAAAGTCAGAAGTAGAGTGATTCATTTAGAAAGCGGAGGCCAAATTTTTATATGCAGCTCATTAGAAATGCTCCAAGTTTGCCAACCTTGGAGAGTGAATCACGTAAAGGAACTATTATGCAGCTTATTATCACCACACTGTTGTATACTCATTATGTGGTACCATGCTGAGTGCATCTTTTCAGTGTGTGAAATGCTATAGCACAAAATGCTGGCTACTATAGTAAATTATTATCAAACTGTAGTTGTTTCTTTTTTATCCCATGAACATTAAAAAACAAAAAAAAATCTAAGTCTAGAACTCCTGCTGAATTCTAAGGTGTGACATATCACGACGCTCTCCTGCATAACAACAAGTTGTTTATTAAATCTTGGTCTAATTTTAGCTGTTGAACTGACCAGCCGAGTGTGCTGTGTCTTTGTGGTGGCATCTCCGGGTAGGGGTTGCCATCTGTTCCGTCTCAGTGTATACTTAAAGGGAGGCTCCACACTGTGGATGACTGCCTGACAAACAACAGTGGAGTAAATTCACCTAAGGAGAGCGACCTCACCTTCATTTGACTGGGAAATAGCCTGAGGCATCATTAACCAGGAACTAGAGCTCACAGTGCCTGCTGTGTGCAGCACGCTGCCTCCTTTTAACCAAGCACAGCCCGACATAAAACCTAAGGGGGCAATTACAAAGCAAGCTGAATAGGTCTGTGTGTGCTGTTTTGGGAATGATTTGGAACAGTTTACAATGCAGAGCCTGGCATAACTGCTTGCTTGGCAGAGATGGACCTGCGTGGCACTGAATCTGTGGTGACAGCGGGCAAATTCTTGGTCATGAAAGGAAATTTGCTGCACTAAGGAAAGCCTGCTTTATTGTGTTAACCTGTATGTATATAATGTGTATAATACAGATATACAGACAGTGGCTGTAGAATTAAAAGGAAATTCTACTTTATTCTTAGGAATAAAACAAACCCTGGAGCTGTTCGGAAACCGGCCCATGTGTTGTACTGATAATAACTTCAACATTATCACACACCTTATATTTTATCCATTAATTGTTTTAATTGAATCATTAGCATAGAAACATGTGTATAGGTTAATATGTAAGGCGTGCACATTAGTGTGTAAAAGTCTTGATCCACCCAGTCCTTTTGAGCAATAGTTCTTCAGGCTTTCTGGGGGTCTTTCAAAGGATTTCTTTGGACATTGGCTGCTTTTTCACTCATTTGCCATGTTGTCCTTCAACCATTTGTTTGCTTGTTAGGCCACTTAACACTGACCTATGATTAATTTATGATTCAGACATATTAAACTCAATAGATGAACCAGTGTTGTGTCTGCACATAGCACACAGCTTAGCTTAGAACAAGTCCTTAATTTTATCTGTAGGCACTTTGTTACTAGCAGACTAGGCTAAAAACATCATTTGCTCCCATTTCTTTTATTGAGTCCATTCAAAATGTCAAAGACAACACAGCTGACAGACATAAAGTAGTATTTTTGCACCAACAAGGTGATTCCCAAAGAGCTGTCAGATGAAAATTCGGCACATCTTGATGATCTGCAATGAGAAAACTGAACAAGTGGAGGAAGTGGAAGGCCTAAAAAATGTTTACAGCAGATGAACATTTGAAAATCATGTCAATAAAATAATTAAAAATAAAATCAGCAAAGACCTGACACAGGACCTGACAGTTGCTCTCTGGCTGTCAGAGATGGTCTCAGTGGAAGGGTGATCGTCAAGAAGCCATTCTTGAGGAAGTGCAACAAAGAGAAATGACTGAGGAATGCCAAATTACACAAGACCTGGACTGGAAATCAGTGGCAACAGGTTTTTATGGAGTGATGAATCCAAATCTGATCTTTATTCATATTGTTGTCAATATGTATGCAGGAGGTACCACAGTGAGTGTCCACAGCCATCTGTAACAAAAACAAGCAAGCAGGAGAGGGTCTGTCATGGTTTGAAGCATTATTTAAGGCCGTGGTGCTGTGGATCTTTGTCAAAATTGATGGAATTATGAACACAGAAAAGTACAGCCATTGATCTGCCGTGCAACATGGTGGAATGAAACACATTGGTGAAGATTTCATGTTTCAGCATGGCAAGTACCCCAAACACCCTGCTAGTGCAGTAAAAGCAAACCTGGAGAGAGAAACACACAGTGAAACACTATCAGTCACAAAAAGAGCTTTGAATGTCATTCAGACAGAGGACTATTCCTGATGACTACTTAAAGAAATGACAAGAAAGATTGCTTAAGAGAGTTCACAGTGTGTTGAAGAACAAATGTTTTAATACCAAATATTGACTTTGAGGCTTGTTTGAATTATATAAACCCTATTTCTGTCTTACATACTGGATTTCTATGTATGTTTGCACACGCCTCAATAAACTGCTGCACCTGTTTCCCAGTTTTCCAGCAAAATATAAATAAATGTGGTGTGACTCAAGATTTCTGCAAAGTATTGAATAAATCCATATACAGAGATTCATCCTAAAGCCATGTAACAGAAAAATAAGCATATGTGTTGCCATGAACATTAATGATGGCTCAGTTTTATTCTAGTGTCCCATGGCAGCCTCATTTCAGTTTTAGGAAAAACAATACAGCCACTGTGGGTTTTTTGTTTTTTTTAATTTGTTATCATTTGCACCCATATTTTCGTTATTTTTGGCACAAGGAGGCTAGATGACTGCTAATATCTGTGTTAGTTTACTACCATCCAGTGGCGTATGGCAGCAGTACATTACTGTAGAGTCAATCTTTGATGCCTTGTTTATATTTGATCATATTTTATTTTTTAATTTCATTTTCTCTGTTTATAACAACACGTACTTCGGATTTCATCCAGATGTTTTCATTTTTTATACATGTGAAAAGCCTGACAACAAGAGCACAAGCTCTGGCTCTTAAAAAATACATTTCCCAGAAGGCTTTGCAACGTTCTGGTTCCTGCCCTGCCAGTCACGTGAGACTCAACTATGGCTTCCTTCTCGTAGTGATGGAGGTGCACTGTTGACAACAAGACACAGTTGGAGCTTTACTCATTTTTTTAGCCGCTGATACGACTTGGACTTACGATGCAGAAGATCAAGTCTCTTATGGCCCGTCAGGTGAGCACAGCAGGTGTACAGAAACTACGCTGCCGGCTGTTTGTCTCTGACGGGAGCCGGTAGTTAGCACGACAGCCTGCTAAGCTAACTGGCTAATTTGACAGCTCATCGTTTGGTTCATTAAGTGAAACGTTCAGCCAGACTAAGAGCTGTTTCAGTTGTTTCCCTCAGGCAAATAAGGCATGCACATAGCAATTTACCTCACGCCCCGGTAGTTGAGAGTTTAACACAATAACAATAACAACACAATAATGGGAACTGGGCGGATAGAAGGAAGTTCTCAGTCTGCACATGCAGTGGTGTTTGGCAATTGGTCAAAACTGAACACAACAGAGCATATCGCTTTCAGAAATCTGCCCCTCAGTTCCACTTTTTGCTGTATGCAGTAGTGTGCTGATGAAGTTCTGTGACAAGTTACAGATTAAAAATAAAAACACAAAGAGTTATGTTAAAGCTACCTGTTGTTTGTAGTTTTACTTTGGATTTTATTTTGGCAGGGCCTGAAAAGCCCCCAGGAGAGCATGGCAGACCTCAGTCCTGTGGAGAACCTGAGAATCCCGAGCAAGGTAAACTTCGACGACTTAGACTGCAGCTGTCTGTTTTGATGTGCTGTTTGATACATGGACAGTGTTCATCATAAAATCAAAGTTTCTCCATCTACCACTTTGTGAGTAGATGCTTATCTTAATAGTTTTGCTGACAGCTTTTTAAAAGCTGCCATATTTTATTGTTTTCGAGCCACAGTGAACGCCATCAGGGAGGGATTGTTTTAGCACTGTTGTTGGACACAGCTGCAAGTTGTAACACAGACCCTGAGTGATGTCTTTGTCATTACCCAGAGTCAGCACTCATGTTAGTAGTAATGGCACCACAAGGCTGTCGGTATTACTAGAGATTTAATTTGTTAATCAATGTGTTGATGATTCATTAGCTATACACTGGATTTCATTTTTTGTGCTTTATCTAAACAGCAGTTGTTATATTATAGTTATGCACTACTGAAGGCTCCTGTTTATATCAGTTAAACAGACTTTATGTCAGTGCTCCTCACCTTACTCAATTTGTGATGCAGACACTGTTATAAGAGTATTTGAACATTTCTGGCATGACAGCGTTTCAAATTGCACTCAGTCATGCTTGGTCACAGGAAGCGTTTGTCACTATCCCCTTTGCACAAATTCAATTCGTCAAGTGTCGACGAAGCAAAAGGCAGAGCGGCTCTATTTCACGTTTAGTTACTTACATTCATTCTTAGCATCACTGTGGCTTTTCACTGTAGTGATGACCTTCAATAAATGACTCTGAGTACAGTTTTGTTGCTGTATTTGTTCACAGCGCTGGGAGATATGAGCCAGGTCGACTGAGCAAGACGTTTAACCTTTCTGGGTTTTGAACACTTAGCGTTTACGTTTTCTTTTTGTATGGTATGCTGTGCTGATGTAGCGTGTGATTATTTTCTGCTCAGGCTAATACTGTGCTGTGATAGATGAGACTAAAAAGAGAGTGCATTTTTGTCAGTTCACCAGTGGCGGTTAGGAAAGATTAAGCCGACTGAATTTTAAAATCTGCTTCCAGATTTTAAGTGTCTGATAAGCTCATACTTAGTGTATATATATATGAGCTTATGCGTCTCATTGATTGAAAGCAGACTGTCTCTTCAATAAAGATTTCAGGGTTGTTGTTTTTTTTCAATGGGCACCTCTGTCTCCTGGCCTTGGTGTCAGGTGACATGGTCAAACTGGATATGCGGTAATCAAACACTTGTTTTGTTTTTTCCTTGCTTGTAACATTCTCATTTGTCAGTGCTGGACTGAGGATTCTGTGCAAGACCTATCACACCTGCTTTATTTGCCTTGTGTGTTATGAAGCAGTAAGGATAATAAGACCGAAGTAATGGCTTCTGTGCATGTGTTCATGTGGATGTGTGAACTGTAAGCAGACAGTATGCCGCTGTCCATCACCTATTAAGTTGCTCTTGTGTGTGCACTGCAAATACCTGCCTGTTGTGTATTGAACATACACACAGGGCATCATTGTTTGTTGGCTTTATACTTTGGCTTCATTTACTTTGCTTTCATTAACGTGCTGGACCTCTCAGCTTACAGGAAAATAAGATGGGGCCACGACACAAGCCAGGCTTCATGTAAAAGTAGTCCTCCTTCATTACAGGAGAAATGGTCCTCTGCAGGAGTGAGACCGAGGTGCTATTATATGAT